TCAACATTTCATGTGAGTTGGTTGGTGTGAAGATATCTACTGAATGCAAGATTTGTTCAAATTTTTTAGCATGTGTTTGACATTGTACCGTACCGTTTTGTACCGTTCCGAAACGGCATGGTACCGAACGGTTCCATCCTTGAAACCGGACCGTACCGGACCGTTAAAAACCTAATGGATACATTACGGGTTTTACTAGTTTACCAGACCGTTCCGGACCGCGCCCACCCCTACAAAAAAACTACTACATTAAAATGTAAATCATACTCCGTAATAAGTTAATAAACTATAAGAAAGTTACTTCATCAATTGGTTTTTCCTAGTGCTCATGTTTTCCATTACAATTCCCAAACACAAATTATATCCCTATAAAATCACAGTACCGAAATATTAATACTACACCACCCGTAGTTTCACAAATCACAAATTCATAACTCATCCAATTTAGTACTCCTACCGTCCCATTTTACCTGTCTTACTTTCCTTTTTGGGTTGTCCCAAAATAAGTGTCCACTTTCCCTCTTTGGAAAGAAATACGTGGTTCACAACATTTCACTTTACTATAACCAAATCTCAACCACAACTTTTACCTTTTCAACCACTTTATTAAAAATTGTGCCAAAACCAAAGACACATAAAATGAGACGGAGGTAGTATATTACAATTCATTCAATTTAATGCAAATTTGATTCTAGATAGCCATTCATCACCCCCACTGGCTACTGACAAATGTGAAAGGACAAAGTGCCGTCCATTTTATCTTTTTGCCTTTTAGTGCTCCATATATAAATTATGAAAAACTATCAAATAAGTCCCTCTATTATATTGAAAATAGCAATTAAGCTCTCACACTTCAAAAACACTCAATCAAACGGTCAAACCCTCTAGTAATGTAAACGCCCAATTTAAAGAGTGTTTGGGGTTGATTAAAAAAAGCGCTTTTCAGCTTTTGGTTTAAAAAAAGTTGAAAAGAGTGTTTTCAAATGATATCTTCTGCTTAAATTAATCACTTAAAAGCTAAAAGCTGGAAGCAGGTAGAAGGGTGCTTTAAACTGCTTCTCACTTTTTCTATTACACAAAAAGTACTTATTTTACCAAACACTACCAACTTTTACTTTTTTAGAATCACTTTTTTCTCAAACACTACCAACTTTTACTATTAATCACTTTTCCCAAAATCACTTTAAAAAATTACTTTTTTAAAGTTGAAGCAATCGCAAACACTCATTTATCCTTTACCCGGTCAACCATCAATTTATCCGGTAACCACAGCTTGCGTGGATGTTCAATTGTTTTTAGTTTTTCTATTCCATTTTTTTTACTTTCCTTGCTGGCCAATCTGAAAAGCCCAAGTCCATACTTTGTCACCATCTAATATCTCGCAGCAAACTTCTCCCATCATAAAATGTTCAGTTGCAGGTCAGTAACATGGCCGCCTAGTAGGTTGTTTTACCACAAATTTCCAAATCAAAACATCTGGTTTTAAAAGTAAATATATTTGATTCTGACTGAAGCCTGCTTTATTTCATTTTATTTGTCTTAAGATTTGCCTTAGTTTGCTTAAATTTCATAGGAGTTAGCCGGCGAAGGGGCGACGACAGATGGAAAAGGAGACAATTAAATAAAAGAAAAAAGTACAAGAAAAGAAAAAGTAAAAAGAAACGAAAGAGGAAGGTAGAAGTTTACACTTTACATGTAGCCACATGTGGTTACTTGGTTGAGACCGGCTAAATAGGGCTGCTCCAGTTTTTTTAATAGTTTAAGGATTTAATCGAGTATTTTTTGAGTATGAATGTTCAATTACTGTTTTTGATATAGTAGGAGGGCTTATTTGATAGTTTTTCCTATCAATTACTTCATACTCCATTACTCATTATCATATACTCATAGTATTCATTTACACTCCGTATGAAGAAAGGGGCACAGAACTCAAAAGTCATGAGAGTATCGATAATAATTAATCAATACTCATTATCCCCTATATTATTATTGTCATATTTCTTCCGAAATTCAAAATTAAAAAAAGACAAACCCTATTTCGAAATGAGCTCAACCATATATACATTTTCCATATGTACATTTTCTCCTCAAAATCCTTAAAGATAGCTCTTACCGATTCGTATGACTCGTATAAATTTTACAATTAAGCTATATATATACTTGATCTAATTGAGTAGAAGTATATTATAGTTGCAACTATTTATTAAAATGATAATGTGCCGACTATTTCATACGAGTATATATTATATTATCATTGGGGAAATTAATTAAAATACCCCAAATTTTGAAGAAGTGTGAGATAAACACACCGAACTTTCATATGTAATTTAAACACTACAAACTTTATATAAAAAGTTATTTTAGCACCATGACCATATATTATTTTTTTCAATAAAGTAAATATATGATGTTAATTGCATAATTTAAAATAGCAAATTAAAAATGATACAATTATATAGGGTGGGGGGTAGTATTATTTATTTTGTAATGGAAGTTTAAAATGTTAATTGTATCTTCATGAATGCTAAAATATTTTAATTCATGAAATTAACACAAAAAACTAACATTTTTAAAGAAATAATTTATGACCATGATGTGCGAATAACTTTTATATAAAGTTTGGGGTATTTGAATTACATACGCAAGTTTGAGGTGTTTACCTTATACCCTTATTTTAATTATTTTTCCCGATAATAATAGTATTCCGTATGCAATTAGACCCGATCATAGCTTATGTGAAGGGAAGAAAAAAAGGATAAAGTATGGGTTTTGGAAATGAAAAAGAAGTTTAGAAATAATCCAAAATAAGGAGTATAGCCTTAGGGAGAAACTAGTCTTGGACCTGGTTCGGGCCGCCCGCTACTGTGCGGGACCGGGACCGGCCCGGTTCTCGGGTCCGGTTTGGGCCTAGGCCCGGTGGGGGGGCGGGTCCGGGCTCGGGTCTTATATTTGGCGAATCGGCCCGGCGGGGTCGGGCCCAGGTCCGAGCCGAATTGTTTTTTTTTTTTTTTTTTTTTTCATTTTTTCATTTTTTCATTTTTTGGGGTTCCACCCGGGTTGAGCTTGATGGTTAGGAGGAGTTTGGGGGGTGTGGGTGAGGGGGGTTAGGAAAGCAAAAAGAAAAAATATAACCAAATCGGAGGCCCGACCCGGACCGGGTCCATCACTAGGAGAAACTGTCCAAATTGAAAATGAGATTGAGAGCCGCCAAATGCAAAAGGGACAAAGGAAAAGTCTCTCATTCTTCACCTTTTTCGTCCTGGCGGTCTGTCCAAATCACACAAAACGTTCATCAACTTTTTTTTATAAAAATATAATCATACTTAATAATCCCAATTATTTGCTTTGTCCCATACTTAATCTCTCTGGTCAACTTTTATATCTCATAATAACAACTAACCATGTTGAATATGGTTAGCTGATCAGTACTACGCACACGACTTCTGATAATGGCCAATGGCTCTCTGCCATATGTGCTCGTGTGAACTGTGTGGACCCTCCTAATAAATTCATACTCCCACCCTCTCCATTTAATATTCGCACTTGGAGTTCATTGCAAACCACACAACCACATATCAAATTTCACATTTAAAATTAAGTTGCATATAGTTTTAAAAAGATTACTGAGTACTAAATAAAAATAAAAAATAAAAAACATGATTACAATTTTTACGACTTACGGGTACATTAGAATATAGTGTCATAATTACTTAAATATAATTGTGTAAAAACACAAGCTATTATAATAAAATTACAGCTAAAGCTACTATAGTTTCCCATGTTATCATATGAAATTACTGCTAAAGCTACTATAGTAATAGTAATATATTTAACTATAGTTAACTCGTGTTCAATTATCATGACATTATATTAATAATAATAGCTTTAATCATATTTTTGTAAATGAAAATATTCCATAATATTTTTGAAAAAGCTCTTAAAAGAAAATGTAATTATCCTTAAGCTAAAGGGTCGAATAGATCCTCGAACTAGCTTAAAAAGTGAAAATCACCCTTTATATAAGAGGCTCTGTTCGGACATTGCCATTTGGGGCGGTTCCCGGTGGAATCTTTTGATGAAATTTTTTGAGCTTCTTCTTCATTAAGTCTAGTTTACCCATACCAAATTTCCGATAAAAATTCAATTGGGAACATAGTCAAATGATTTTCTGAAATATACAACATTGTTTAACTGCACAATTATCTTCAAAAATTCATTTTATTACCTTCCCGATTGAATTTTTATGTGAAATTTGATATGAATAAACTAGACTTAATGAAGAAGATTCTAAAAAAATTCGTCAAAAAATTCCAATGAAAACTTCTTATATAAGGGGTGATTTGCACCTTTTTATCTTCTAATTTATACTCCACCTTTTATTTGTTTTCTTTCAATTTTACTGTATTATTCAATACTGCTATTTCACCCATATGTAAAGTGGTAAAAAATATGCAAGATATAAAATACTACTACGTACGTCTCATTTTATCTGACTTATTATTCTTTTTCATTTGTCCCAAATTAAGTGTTACATTTTCTTTTTTGGAAAGAAGCATGTGATCTATATTATTTCATTTTATTATACTCAAATCACAACAATAATATTTACCTTTTGAGCCATTTTATTAATAAATGTGTCAAATCAAAATAGAACACAAAAATAAAATGACACGGGGGAATATTATTTTACTCCTTTATCTATTTTTATTTTCATACAATATAGGAGGTGTTTGAATCTGATTCATAAAACTGCTTCTGCTCCTTCAGAGAGCAAAAAAGGAAACTGGAGTGTTTGAATGAAAATATATAAATGATCTCGGTGCTCTAATTTATTCCTACAATTAGTTTTTTAGAAATTAGTGTAGACCAGTTTCTAAAAACGAATTCTACTTCTGCTTTGAAAAGGAATTAGAAGCCGAATGAGTTCCTAGAAACTTCTAAAGAGATATGTACCCACTTAATAATGAAGGAAGCAAAAAAAATATTAACAAAAAGGAATCCTAATACAAATAATGTCGTAGTCGTTTATTTGATTTTATGGTGGTTAAAAGAGAGAACCCAAAAAGTGATTATATCGTCGTTTCTGCATTATCAGGAACTGCAGATTCGACCAGATCTATTTCTGTTCCCTCTGCCCTAAATTAAAATAAACCCTAGCAAAACATTACTATATTTTGTCATTATTAAAATATTGATTGATGGTTTTGGGTTTGAGCTAATTTTTTAGTCAATTAAACCAACTAAATTGTGTTTGGAGAAGAAGAAGAAACTCAGGGAAACGACAGCCAGCAATGGGTATTTGCACTTCCAAACCCTTCATAGATCCCAATGATTCCAGCAATGGCTCGCCAACGGATAGTTCTATTCCGGTCAAAGACAATCACAATACCAGCGAGAATCAGAGCTGCCAGACGAATATAATAAAGAATGGGGAAGTTGAGGCCGGCAAGAAGTCACCGTTCTTCCCGTTTTACAGTCCCAGCCCGGCGCATTACCTATTCTCTAAGAAGTCACCCGCGAGATCTCCGGCGAATGGCCCTAGCTCCAACTCCACGCCGAGGAGATTTTTCCGTCGACCGTTCCCTCCGCCGTCCCCTGCCAAGCACATCCGAGCTGTTCTGGCGCGAAGGCAGGGTTCAGTGAAGCCGAATGGCGCGTCAATTCCAGAAGGGTCGGAATCGGAGAGTCGACTGGACAAGAATTTCGGGTTTTCTAAGCATTTTGGAACAAAGTATGAACTCGGAGAGGAGGTCGGCAGAGGGCATTTTGGGTATACTTGTAGGGCTAAGTTTAAGAAGGGTGAGCTGAAGGGTCAAGATGTTGCAGTTAAAGTCATTCCCAAAGCAAAGGTGAGTTTCTCCATATTATGTACCCCATTTTTTTTGCTGTTTTTATGTTTCAGTTTGATCTGTGAATTAATATTATTATGATGATTAAAATTGACTTTAGCTTACTGCTTGTGGATAACATAAATCAGAGAACTCTGGTTCACTTTGTCGTTTCTGGTTTTGTTTGGTTTTGTCCCTGTTCATTCAGTCAGCCTTCTTCTGTCTAGGATTTCTTTGTTCTCCTGTGTATAGAAATCTGAACATTATGATACGTATTTCATTTAAGGATACATGTAGTAAGAATTCTTGGATTGGTAGAAGCAGTGGAAATTGAAATTGTTGCGTAGAAATCTATATAATCTATTCAGTTACTACATACGTTTGCGTAGAAACAGTATAGCACATTAGTGTGGTTAACGGCTCTTTACTGCTAGGAACTTTTTCAATCGTCACTATCAGTACAGGACTTCTGTTGAAATTTAAACTCTTACAATATTGCTAAGGCTTTAACTGCAAGTTAATACAGAGTATTTGCACTAAAATGATGTTAATTAGAACTAAATTAAAACCTATCAGGAACAAGAGAGAACTAGAGAATATAGTTTTATGGGTGATAGCTAGAATTGCCTGATTTGTGTTCATATTTTCCAGGATATAAATTAAAAAGGGAGTTCAGATGGATCTTTGACGGTAGTTGGTAAATTTTGTTTTGATCATATCACTGGATGCTATATCAGTATACTAAGAGCTAATGAATATGTTTTCATTTCTGAATTGTTGCACATTCTGTCATGTTATGCTTACTTATATCAAATATTTATTGAAACATGGTTTACTGTTTTTTATGGTAGTGTTTTATGACTTTTGACTATGTTTGATTCTAAATATTGGCTTCTAGATGACAACTGCCATAGCCATTGAAGATGTTAGAAGGGAGGTGACAATATTGAGAGCTTTGACAGGGCATAACAATTTAGTACAGTTTTATGATGCATACGAAGACAGCGAGAATGTCTACATAATAATGGAGTAAGCTCTAGTTTCTTGAATTTTATATTTTATTATGTTTATGATACCTCAGGTTTTCGAGTAGTAACACTTTCCTTTGATTCAACTTTTAGGTCATTTTTTAGATAATGTTGTTTCAATTTTTTGTTTTCTCTTATCACTGTTATGTATGTATCATTTTGCTTTTTATCCTTTTGGCTGCCTCTTTGCTACTTGCAAGCACTAACTTGATTAGCTTTTGTCTTTCAGGCTTTGTGAAGGAGGGGAGCTCTTGGATAGAATATTGGCAAGGTGATTAATTTAGTTACAGTTACGTACCAGTCATTTAGAGAACATTTGGTATGACTTGTTTTATAGGAATATACATGCTTTTTAGTAAAAGAGATTTTTTTTTTGTTTCGGATACAAAAAAAGTCAGCTTAATGCTTATTTGAGAAACTTTTTCAAAAAGCTCTTGAATTGTTTAATGCGAAAGTACTTGTGTTAAAAGCATTCATGCCATAAGTCATCCCAGACAAGCTCGTAGTTTCTTTCATTTTTGAGTTCGCAAATGCACATACGAACCCTATATGTGCTGGGGTTCTTAAAAATTTCACCAGTGTATTAAAAAGTCCTCTTTCTTGTGTAGAGGTGGAAAATACACAGAAGATGATGCAAAGGCCGTGTTGATACAGATATTAAATGTCGTGGCATTTTGCCATTTGCAAGGTGTGGTGCACAGGGACCTCAAGCCTGAGGTTAGTAAAATTGCAGTTCTTGCTGTGATCTCTATATTTCCAAGTTTTTATTTGGTTCTATTATGTTTTTAACTGTAGCTTGTTGCTGAACCAGAATTTTTTATTCACGTCCAAGGATGAAAATGCAGTGCTGAAAGCCATAGATTTTGGATTGTCTGATTTTGTAAAGCCAGGTGTGCTTCCCTTCTATTTACTCCCTCCGCTTCACAATAAGTTTAATTTTTGAAGATTAAGTTGTAATGGAGAAAAGCTTTACAATATCATCCTTCCTAAAATCTAATAATCATTGGAGATAAGTTTTGCACAGGATTCTCAAAGAATGCAAAAAAGAAATGAAAAACATAGCTTTAAAAATTGTGAAATAATCCTCCAAATAAACATTTATTGGAGGGAATATATGCCAACAACACTAGTCGTTCTCACAAAATCATGATATGACCTAATTTCATTACTTTTTTAGATGAAAGGCTGAATGATATTGTTGGGAGCGCCTATTACGTAGCCCCTGAAGTTCTACATAGATCTTACAGTACGGAGGCCGATGTTTGGAGTATCGGGGTGATAGCATATATTCTAATGTGTGGCAGTCGTCCATTTTGGGCTCGGACTGAATCCGGAATCTTTCGGGCCGTTCTAAAAGCTGATCCAAGTTTTGAAGAACAGCCGTGGCCCACCCTTTCTTATGAGGCAAAAGACTTTGTCAAACGTTTGTTAAATAAGGATCCACGGAAAAGAATGACCGCTGCTCAAGCCTTGTGTAAGTTTGTATGTCATAAAGTGCAACATTATGCCTTTCTTTGAACCGCTAAAAGCCATCTTTGGTGTGTCGTAAGCTAGGTTCAACAATTTGTAAAAAAAGCTTTTCATTTATAATGAGTTTCATAGACTAGCTTATACAATAAGCTCTTGAGCTTTTTGTATACAGTTCCATTTTAACCATTTTAGGCTCTTTTATTTCAAAATAATTCAACATATCCTTTTACATCATTTTATATGTTTAAACCAACCTATCAGCTAAACTCTACTTTGTGTCGAACAGTATATGAGATTATCTAGGTTATCAAACCCTAGTTATAAGCTATAAGCTACTACGTATAAGTTAGAAATTTACTTATCAGCTTGCTTTTCCAAACACATAATAAATATCTCATGCCTGTTTCAGGTCATCCATGGATAAAAAACAGTAATGAAGCAAAAGTCCCATTGGATATACTAATATTCAAACTCATGAAGGCTTATATGCGATCGTCTGCGTTGAGGAAAGCTGCTTTGCGGGTATGTCTGCTCCTATATGTCTGCTCCTATTAGGGAAAAAGCTAACTATTACTCTGTACAAATTATTTTTATATATCATGTAATGCTTATACCATGTTCTTGACAGGCTCTATCCAAGACATTGACTGTCGATGAGCTTTTTTATTTGAGGGAGCAGTTTTCTCTGCTGGAGCCTAACAACAATGGCACCATAAGTTTGGAAAATGTTAAAATGGTTAGATTTCTTCAAATTTGTGATGTTATACTGCCATTGCTTTGTGGTATTGTGTAAAAGTTTGAATTATTTCAGGCATTAATGAAGAATGCAACAGATGCCATGAAAGAGTCGCGTATCCATGATTTTCTTCCATCGGTACACCCTACTACCTACATCCCACTGCATTCTGACTTGTAATAATATGAGGCCCGTTTGTTGAAGTTTATTTGGCTGAAACAGCAGCTGGATTTTCTGAAAGGAAAAATGTTTGGGAACATTTGCTTCAGCCAAATAAGTAAAAGGCGACCTATTCTGCCCATAAGTAGAATAAGCTAGAACTGGCTACCAATTGGAGCCTTAGTGTCTTATCTGTTTGCTAAGAGGCCTCCTTGTGTCATATTGGCAGCTCAATGCACTACAGTATAGGAGGATGGATTTTGAGGAATTCTGCGCAGCTGCATTGAGTGTGAATCAACTTGAGGCTCTTGATCGTTGGGAACAACATGCCCGATGTGCCTATGAAATCTTCGAAAAGGAGGGGAATAGGGCAATCATCATTGAAGAGTTAGCTTCGGTAAAAATGGTTTCCCCATGTGTTCATTATTTCTGTCATTGGCTTTCTAATAAGTCTGTTATTACTGAGCTTACATTTAGGGTTTGTTTGGACACCACAAAATACTTAGGAAATTAAAGAGGAGGGAGAATAGAGAGGAAAACAGGAAGGAAAGCACATTTGTGGGAATATAATATAAACACTCAAAGTCAATAAATGTATGTTATATAGCTGTTCAAACCCATTTTTATTTATTTACTTCTAATGTATTGACTAAAATTATACGGAAGGAATATTGACTAAAATTATACGGAAAGAATTTTCGATGGTAAAGATGAACATAACAAGATAACTACCCAAGCAGTCCTTATTTTCCCTTTTCCCTGCCATTTTCTGGGATTTAAACATACTCCTTATGGTGAATAAAATTTGAAAACTTGTGGTTTCAGGAACTTGGACTTGGCCCTTCTGTTCCATTGCATGCCGTTCTCCATGACTGGATCAGGCACACTGATGGAAAGCTGAGCTTCCTTGGGTTCGTAAAATTGCTACGTGGTGTGTCGAGTCGAATACCTCCAAAAGTTCAATGACACTAAATATGGTGGGCTTATTCACAGTATATCAGCAGATAGAGAGATATAGAGTGTGACATTCAGAAGTTATCAAACATTTATCTGGAGCAGGGGGCACTCACGAGTCACCACCAAGATGATGAAAATGGTCGAGGGTGTAAGTAGACGGTTCTCCACACCATTATTCCACTGGAACAATAAGAGAAGAATATGAAGTTGCCGTGGTCGCTTTACCTGGTTTAATTTGTGTGCTAGTATTCCTTGGCTGGTTATTGTTCTAACAAAAAGTTATCTATTTGGAGTGCCCTTTCTTCATCAATTGTTTGTCTCATTGTAATCTTATCTTCCTAGTGCTTTTGTGTTGGTTCTCATTTCTCAACCTCCCCATACAATGTGAGTCTGTACTCGATTGTCTCGTCTGCTTGCAAAAACAAACATGGGTAATGTAACCTTTTGGAACAAGTGATGTGAGATGGTTGTATAGTGGTGTATATGTCATAGGGCCTCGGGCCTCAGGCCTCCTCTGCCATGGACTTAGGCCTGTCAATGGGCCAATTCTAGACCCGGACCCGATTATTTTTAAGGGAATACTCCGTATTTCACAAATAAGCTAAAAGGAGGTGAAAATAATTTCACTTTTCAAAGTTCTTTTCAAAAATAGTCTAGCTAACTTTTCTTTTTAAAAATAGATCATGTACGTAGACAAGCCTCCTGGACACTACGTGTGCAGACACTAAGCTACTCATTTTACATCTCTTTATACAAACTCCAAAAATTACTCGAATCATATTTTTAAATAGAAAAAATTTAAATGTTTAGAAAAATGTAAAAATGATGAAGATAATCAGAAAATAATAAAATTATTAAAAATAATAAAAAATAAAAAATAAAAGAGTACTCAAATTAAGTAAAAGAAAATGCATAATAAAATATCTAAGTTGAAAACTTCTGAATTAAATTTTAAAAATCAGAATTTTAATTTAAAAAAAGGGCAAAGGGGCAAAACCACCCTTAAAGTAGTCACCAGAGGGCATCTATGTCCTTAAACTTCTCTTTTGTGCAAAAATCTTTACAATCTATCAAAAAGGGCAATCACCCCCTTGTTTTCAACGGAGTTAGCAAGTGTTTAACATGGTTGCTTTGAATTTTAAACTGAATATATATTAATTGTATTTATTAACTAATTTTGTAACTTAGTTGAAATATATAAAATACAAATAAAGCAATTACATATACAAGTACTATTAAGATATAAGGTTTCATCCTAAAAGGTCAACTTGATAGGAGAAGTAGATCATATCTTAATATATCACTTTATTACTTCACAATTTTTCGATATGAGACTTTAACAAGTATCCAATAAAAAGCGATAATGTGATGAAATAATGACTATGAAAAAAGTTATGAAACAATTTCATTAGTATTACTCTTTAAAATATGGGGGAGAAAATTATAACTTAAGAGTCCGTTTGGTAACACTGAAATCGACTAAAATTTATGAAGATCTGGCTAAAGTGGCTGTATTAGCTGATTCTGTCGATTTATGAATAAATTATATTTAAAATAAATTGTATTAATAAAATAAAGAAAAAATTATATGAAAAATAGTTAAAATGGTATTCTACAGTAACTTCAACCAATACAACCAGAAATGTAACTTCAACCTCACTTTTTCTTATTATTACACAATTCTGCGCGCGAAACCAAAAGTTGCGTGTTTGATTAAAAAGTTGACTGATAAGCCTGATAAGCCGAAAACAGAGTCACCAAGTGAGCTCTTCGTAACTATTAATGACTATAAGTGTGTTCAAATTTAGTAATTTCATGTAAGTTATTACGATGTAACTTTGAATATAATTATAGTAGCTAATAATTACTAAGTACTAGTAATATTTTTGTCCATAACTTTTTCATTAGTACTACGTAATATTTAATGAAAGCCCTAAAAGTTATTAGCAATTAGAAAAAAATTACTCCGGGGATTAGATATGGCAAAATCTAATTAGTGTCCTTCAAAGCAATTTATATTTTGGATTTTTTTCTATGAATATTACTAAATTAAATTCAAATTACAAAAATATGACTTATTTTTCAATAACTAGTTCATAGTGAGTCGTCATCTACCAGTGACTTATCACTCTGAAATACACTATATTGACTATTGTGTAGTTACTCGTACACGGGGGTGGTCATACTTTTATCCAAAACATGACTAGTCATATTCTTATCAGGGAAAACTCTATTAGTAATGTACATGTGATTTTTTTTCTTATATTTTGAAATAAACATTTAGAAATATGAATAGACTATATTTTTCGTTGCATAATTTTACCTTATTTACCACACAAAGCTTGTTCAGTAATACATGGTTCCGACTTATTAGTCATTTTTTGTCAAACTATTTCAAATCAACTATTTTAGTTGAATTGTATAATAATCAAAATAAGGAGTTTTTTTCAGAATAATGCAAAATAAAAAAGTATTTACAAAATTGGGGTCGAGTTAAAACTATTTACCAAAATACTGCTGGAATAAACTAGGGTTAGAGAGAGCCGCCAAAGCATTTGGCGACTCTCTCAATAATACGGAGGAAGTGCGTAAAAGGAAAGATAGATTCGCTGGGAGACTAAGGGAGTGTTTGCAATCACTTACAAAAAAACACTTCTCAGCTTTTGGCTTAAAAAAGAACTTATTTACCAAACACTACCAATTTTTACTTTTTCTCGGCTTGCGTGTAAAACGTGCTTTTCTCCTTTCTATTACACAAAAAACACTTATTTTACCAAACACTATCAACTTTTACTTTTCAAAATCACTTTTTTCTCAAACACTATCAACTTTTCCTACTAATCACTTTTTTCTTAAATCTCCAAAAGTGCTTTTTTTAAGCAGAAGCAGTTGCAAACACTCCCTAAGAAGAGCTGAAGAGGTGGGGCCAATGTAGAAAAAAATCATCTTTTTCTTTTAAATAGCTATAACTTTCATATTTTTGCTCCAATTTTTTTTAAAAAATATATCAATTTTTATAACTTTTTGTGATCTTTATATGACACCAATATATAATATATAAATTTTAAAAAATTCCTGAAGACCATATGGGGTGTAAAAAGAGTTTTTTCCTTTTTTGATCACTCGACTATTATTTCAATGTTACTTTTGGTACCCGAATTCTAATTTTTCTATTTTTAATCGTCGACTATTGTGGTAGGGATACTTTTAGTCCCCGATTTCAAGGTTTCCCACATTTAGTCCTCAAAGTATTATCAAATTAATACTTTTAGTTCTCTCATTATGATTTTGGCACATTTAGTGGAGGACTAAAAATGTCATTATCATAATAGTTGAAGGACCAAAAGTGTCACTTTTATGAAAGTTGAAGGACTAAATGTGAAAGTTTTCAAAAACGGGTACCAAAAGTGTCTATATGGCAATAGTCGGGTGATCAAAAGTGGCAAAAACTCGGTGAAAAAACTAATTGCAATTATCCACCGTCAATAAACTTAATTCTCAATATACCAAAATTATGTATTCACTCTGTCAATTTAATTTTTAAATATCCTTACCCAACATAGTTTTTAGTTAAATTTTAACACTTTTTAATCTACATCAACTTTTAACCAATTTTTTTACGAAAATCTTAATATTCGATTGTCTTGAGTTTTTTAAGTTCAAATTTTTTCTTAAGCAGATCCGGGGGTTAAAATTAAAATCTCATCATTATTTTATACATGTTTTAGTTATTTTTCGAGAAAATACTTGAAGCAATAAAAAATAAATTCCAAATTTTATTCCATTGAAATGTTTAATTTTTTTAATCAAAATGTCAACCAAGATTTTATTTTTTCAATGTAGAAATTCAACAGTTTTTTTGCTTTGAAATGTCTTACATTTTGAGCTTAAAAATTAAGCGTAAAGAACGGTAGGTGATCGAATCCTTAGATTTTCGTAAAAAAAATTGATTTAAAAGTTCACGTACATGAAAAAGTGCTAGAATTTAACAAAACTATGCTAGGTAAATATATTGAAAAATTGAATTGACAGAGTGAATAGAATATTTTGGCTTAAACTGGATGAGAATTAAATTTATTGATAGTGGATAATTGCAATTAGTTTTTTTACCCCATATGGTCTTCAGAAAATTTATAAACTTTTTATATTATATATTTATGTCATATGAAAGATTACAAAAAGTTATAAAATTTGATATATTTTTTTAAAAATTTGGAGCAAAAATATGGAAGTTATAGCCATTTAAAAGAAAAAGAGTTTTTTTTTCTACATTGGCCCCACCTCTTCCCATACCTGTTAGTCTCTGGCTTTGCTTGTACACACTTCCTCCGTATTATTGAGAGAGTCGCCAAATGGTTTGGCGGCTTTCTCTAACCCTAGTTTATTCCAACATTATTTTGGTAAATAGTTTTAACCTGATCCTAATTTCGTAAATACTTTTTTATTTTGCATTATTCTGGAAAAAAACTCCAAAATAAGTGAGTGTGAAGTAGCTTTTCTCGTAAAATTGACTCAAATTCTTTAAAGCCAGGCATTTTATCTTTTTCATCTAGCTTTTTCTTTATACTACTACATCCGTGCCTTTCCGATGTATCTTCTTTCTGATGTATCAATATATATATAAGAAATAATAGTTCGATAAAGTTAGAATAAAACAAAACAAGCATTATTTACATATACATAAATTGTATCAAATTTGGTATGAGATGATTTTAATTGGAAGCGAACCGAAAAGAGAAAATGAGACAAGTTTAGCGGGACAGGGAGAATTCCCAACTTTTTTGTATCATCGTTCTTTCATTACTTAGTCGCTTTTTATTATTTACTTTTATTTGTAATCATTTTATTTAGATTTTATATATTCCAACAAATTTACAAAATTGGTTTAATAAATAAAATTAAAACACACAGAATGAAAAAATTAAATTAAACTCTAAAACATCTAGAATCTTAAAAATGAATAAAACTTTATACAAAAATGATTTTGAAAATATTTAAAATCATAATTTGAAATTGAAACTTTTTTTAAGAATTAGTTATTATTTAGAAACGGAAATATATATAAATTAAAAAAATCTAAATTTTGTAAGCATGTATATAAATATTTGAAAAAAGTTAAAGAACTAAATGGTCTAAAATAAAATATAGATACAAAATTCTTAAAAAAATAAAAAGAATAAAATTTAATTAAACTTAAAAGAATGAAAAAAAAAATCTATAAAAAGTGTGTATAGTTAAAATTAAAATGGAAAACAAAATTAAACACTAAAACAATTGACAAAACTAAAAAAATTAAATATTGTAATTCATTTTTTTGTTTTTTTTTACTACTGTTTTTTTTGTTGATAAATCTGATTTTATTTTTATTTTTTATTGTTTCATTGTGTACCATGGATTGATTCATAAATCCAAATTTATCATTTTAGGTGTTTGTATATAAATCTATTGAGCTATTTTTATTTCAAGGAAGGAGCAAAGATAAATAAAAATTTAAATAAGCATTAAAAACAAAAATCAATAATAAAACATCAATAAGAAATACCATGCAACAATAATC